GAGCCCTGCAGGCTTGCGATCCCAGCACGCTCCGAATGCAGGCTAAGGGGCAGAACAGCCAGTGCCCCGTAGCATTGGGTGGACGCACCTGCGTACAAAGGCAGGTGTGTGCAGGTGTGCAGGTGGACTGGCCTTTGAACGCTGGGTGCGAGGTGTCACTGGAGGAAGGCTAGAATGGCACAGGGCTCTGCACGTGTCCCCTGTAGTAACACCCGGAGATGAGCAGCACTGTCACGCCGCTTGGGAACCTGCACTTGGCCAGCTGCAGGCGTGGAGCTGGCAGGCGCGTAGGGAATAGCCGCTATAGCTGTTCCATAGCATGTGGCATGCTGCTGGTGATGGCCCCTGAAAATACTGTCCTAACTCCCGTCAGGTGCAGGCACGTGGCCCCACAGTACTGGTGGGTAGGCGCTGAAATGCACATGGGCAGGGACCAAGGAGAGTTCCTGTTACCTCTTCCCCGCATGCGCTGTGTTTTCTTTGGGATACTGGTACGAAGATGGGCCATATCGCACCTGCCGGGGTAAAACCTGCCCAGAGCCCAGCGCTGCTCGGAGCCAGCAGCAGTGTTGGAATATAGAGACTGGGGTTTGACCGCTCCGAGCGAGCGATGGAGATGTGTTGCTTGGTGTAGCTCCAGCATCGGGCACTGCGATGCTGCTCCGCCAGTCGCTCAGAGCCTGAGAGTTCCTGTTCCTCGCTGTACCAGCCAGTGCGAGACGAGCCACCCCAGTGCAGATCTCGGGTGCCCCGGAGTCCCTGGCTGGCCAAAGTGCTGTATTTGACTCTTACCAGGGAGAGACCGTGCCTGGCACAGATTCCAGGAGATCTTTCCTAATTTGTTTTTCCCGAAGAACTAAACTGATCACAGAGCTGAGCAGTGACGTCTCTTTATTCTGTGTGTCTGCCTCCTTGTCTAGGCTGGTGCTCAGAACGACCCGGCATTCGCTTCCTGTCTGAGACGGGCCCATGAGTTCCTCAGAATCACCCAGGTGAGCACTGAGTTGGGGTCACAGAGGTGGGGAGTCAGCATTGACTCTGGTAAGACTGCAGTGTCCTGCGTAGCTTCTCGGCATCCAGCCATGCGGCTCATCCCCTTCATGCGCTGTAGTCATAGGCGCGGGAACTAGGGGGATGGGGTGCTGCAGCACCCCGAGGTTTCACTGTGAGACGTTTGCTGGCGCTGTTAGAACGAAGCTAGCGTCATTTTGCAATTTTTGAGAATTCCAGAGATGTGCTGCACCCGTGTGGTGTGAGCAGGAATTGCATTTTTTCACATTGCATTTGAACACACAGGGTTTACAGTTTCGTTAGCTGGCTTTCAGCATCCAGCACCACTGGCCGTGGTAGGAGATACAGAGGAAAGGGGTTTGGTACCAGAACACGGTAGGGAGAGAGGCCCAGAGTCTCAAAGGTATTGAGGTGTCTAACTCCATTTGGGGCTGGGGGTCAGAGCCCAGGGGCATTTTAAAGCAGCGTGGCAGGGAGGTGAATGCTGTGGGTCCCACGGGCTAGCTCAGCTCAGGGGCTTTCGTTGTCTATCAAACGCACTAGTTTGCAGAGTCCTTTTTGCGCACCCTGTCAAACGTCTCTGGATCTGTAGGTTTCCTCCGTCTTACATTGCATGGGGCTTTTCTGTAGGGGCTGACCCAGCCGGGTTCTCTCTAGTTCCCCTGTTTCTAGAGCCCTGCCACTGTCCCACTGCAGCTCCGGTAAGGGTTCTCCCCACCCAGCTCTGGAGCCAGGGCTGCGAGTGCTGCAGGGCACGGCGCGCTTGGCCTTGGGAAGCGCGGGGGGGGAGGATAGCTCAATGGTTTGAGCATTGGCCTCCTAAACCCAGGGTTGTGAGTTCAATCCTTGAGGGGGCCACTTAGGGATCTGGGGCAAAATCAGTACTTGGTTCTGCTAGTGAAGGCAAGGGGCTGGACTCGATGACCTTTCAAGGTCCCTTCCAGTTCTAGGAGATGGGATATCTCCATTAATTAAAAAAAAAAGTATTTTAAAAGCGGAGTGTGCCTCACCTCTCTCAGGGAGGGAGACCTGCCTGCCCTGGGACACAGCTGGCACATGGGCCTGGCTAACCCTGAGATTCCTGTGACGTCCCTGCACTGGTGCCGTTTCCTGGTGCTGCTCCACAGGCGCTAGAGGCAATGGGAGCACACGCGTGAACCTCCACTGGTGTTCTTACCACCGCATCATAGACTTGGTCAGAAGGGACCATTATGATCATCTAGTCTTACCCCCTGCATAACGTAGGCCACGGAATCTCACCCACCCACTCCTGTATCAAACCTGTGTCTGAGCCATTGAAGTCCTCAAATAGTGGTTTAAAGACTTCAAGGTACAGAGAATCTTCCAGCAAGTGACCCGTGCCCCACGCTGCAGAGGAAGGCGAAAAACCCCCAGGGCCTCTGCCAATCTTCCCTGGAGGAAAATTCCTTCCCAACCCCAAATATGGCAATCAGCTAAACCCTGAGCATGTGGGCAACACTCACCAGCCAGACACCCTGGAAAGAATTCTCTGTAGTAACTCAGATCCCACCCCATCTAACGTCCCATCACAGACCATTGGGCATATTTACCTGCTAATAGTCAAAGATCAATTAATTGCCAAAATTAGGCTATCCCATCGTACCATCTCCTCCATAAACTTATCAAGCTTAGTCTTGAAACCAGATATGTCTTTTGCCCCCACTGCTCCCCTTGGAAGGCTGTTCCAGAACTTCACTCCTCTAATGGTTAGAAACCTTCGTCTAATTTCAAGTCTAAATTTCCTAGTGTCCAGTTTATAGCCATTTGTTCTTGTGTCCACAGTGGTACTGAGCTTAAATAATTTCTCCCCCTCCCTGGTATTTATTCCTCTGATATATTTATAGAGAGCCATCATATCTCCCCTCAGCCTTCTTTTGGTTAGGCTAAACAAGCCGAGCTCTTTTTGTCTCCTTTCATAAGACAGGTTTTCCATTCCTTGGATTATCCTAATAGCCCTTCTCTGTACCTGTTCCAGTTTGAATTCATCCTTCTTAAACATGGGAGGCTAGAACTGCACACAATATTCCAGATTCTTGCCAGTGCCTTGTATAACGGTACTAACACCTCCTTATCTCTACTGGAAATACCTCGCCTGATGCATCCCAAGACCGCATTAGCTTTTTTCACGGCCATGTCACATTGGCAGCTCATAGTCATCCTGTGATCAACCAACACTCCGAGGTCCTTCTCCTCCTCTGTTACTTGCAAATGATGCCCCCCCCCCCCAGCTTATAACAATAGTTCTTGTTATTAATCCCTAAATGCATGACCTTGCACTTTTCACTATTAAATTTCATTCTATTACTATTACTCCAGTTTACAAGGTCATCCAGATGTTCCTGTATGATATCCCGATCCTTCTCTGTATTGGCAATACCTCCCAGTTTTGTGTCATCCGCGAACTTTATTAGCACATTCCCACTTTTTGTGCCAAGGTCAGTAATAAAAAGATTAAATAAGATTGGTCCCAAAACCGATCCCTGAGGAACTCCACTAGTAACCTCCCTCCAGCCTGACGATTCACCTTTCAGTACGACTTGTTGTAGTCTCCCCTTTAACCATTCCTTAGCCACCTTTCAATTTTCATATTGATCCCCATCTTTTCTAATGTAGCTAATAATTTTCCATGTGGAATTATTTAATAATTATTTAATAATTCCCCAATTCCTAGTTTAAAGCTCTCTTAATCAGTTGTGCCAGCCTCCATCCTAGAAGTCTATTTCCCTCCTGTAGTAGTTTTGGGCCGCGGTTCGGCACTCAGCGGGGCTGCAGGGTAGCCCACCGCCTCGCTACAGTGCGAAAAGAGCCCCGAGCCCCAATCAGGCTGGGGCAGTAATCACACAGTTAGGCCAATACCCAGGCCCTTAGGCAGGGGCTGGGTCGGAGTTGGTAGCAGCCCAGGCCCTAGGCCAGGGCGGGGCAGCAAACCAATAGTCAAGCAAATACCCAGGCCTTTAAGCAGGGGCTGGGTCAGTTTGTGGCAGCCCAGGCCCTAGGTCAGGGTGGAGCAGCAAGCAAATAGTCAAGCAGAGGCCCAAGCCCTGAAGCAGGGGCTGGGTCGGGGTTTATAGCAGCCCCAACCTCTCTAGGCCAAGGAAAAAGGGGGGGGGAGTCTGCCACCCAAGGAGTGGGTGGCAGGGGAGACGCAGGCCCTCCCACTCCACTGCATCCCAGCCCGGGGCCCTAGCAGCGACGGAAACTCGCTGCTGTCAGTGGAGATCCTGGCCGCAACACACTGACATCAGTTCTGGCAGTGCAGCAGCCAGACTGGGGTCGGCTGCCCCCGGGCTACTTCCACACTCCCCCTCGTACGGTACCTGGGCCGTCTTAGTGTCGTCGGTGCTCTCCACCAGCATGGGCTCCTTGGGGTAGGTAGCGAAGGGCAGGCTCGGCTCCTCCTCGGGGTAGCTGGCACGGGGCAGGCTTGGCCAGTCCTCCTCGGGGTACCTGGCGAGAGGTAGGCTCGACCGGCCCGGTGAGTCAGCAGGCCGCTCGCGGCCTGTGGCTGTTTCCCAAGCGGGAGCTCGGCCAGGGACGGGGACGTCTGCTCTCTCCGCCGGCCTGGCCTCCAGTGAGCTCTGCAGGCGGGCTTTTATAATTCCGGGTGGGGGCTGTGACCTCTGAGGGGCGGGCGCCGGACCCGGTGTCTCCGCCCATGTTGGTAGTAGGGGAGGTTCGGCCCTCGGCGGGGCTGTGGGGTAGCCCACCGCCTCGCTACACCTCCCTGCTCAGGTGAAGTCTATCCCGAGAGAACAGTCCTCTGTCCATGAATGCCTCCCAGTGGCCATACATCCTAGAGCCCTCCTTATAGCACCACTGCCTGAGCCATCTGTTGATCGTCATAATCTTGTCACACCTTTGTTGTCCTTCTCTAGGAACAGGCAGAATCCCACTGAAGATCACTTAAGCGTCTTCCCTTGATACGTTCCAGCAAGAGTCTAGCCGTATCATTCGTTCCCACATGAAGGACAATCAGTGGATTCTTTCCCGCTCCCGTTAGGATCCTCTTCAGCCTCAGGTCCACATCCCGTATCTTAGCACCCGGCAGACAGCACACCCTTCTGTTCTCTGGATCAGCTCTGGTAACAGGCCTGTCTGTTCTTCTCAGTAAGGAGTCTCCAATCACATAGACCTGCCTTTTCCTGGTGACGGTGCAATTCTCCGGTCTATCCCCTGTTCCCTCTGGCTGCAAGTCCTCTCGATTCCAATTCACTCTTGCAATCCTCTGCAACCCATCTGCCTGGGGCTCATGTTTGGCATCATCTCCATTGACTCTTTCCCTCTCCTTATAGGACTAGCTGTTCTTCTCTTCTTCCTTGCCCTCTCACCTTCAGCGACCACCTGCTGTGCCCCTTCTTCATTTTCCAACTCCGCAAACCTGTTCCTGAGCTCTATTTCTCCTTCACTAGCCCGTCTTTTCCTCTGTCTGGTTCTCTTAGTCACATGCTTCCACTGTCCACTTTCCTCACCCAGCAGTCTCCCCTCAGAGTTCTTTGGTCCTGCTTCCATCTGCAAGTCTGAGCTTTTCTCTTTGGCCTCATCATGTCTTTGCTCCATCATCCGTTGGAACCCCCTTCTAAACTCAACCAGAGTTTCCACCTGCATCTCCAGTCCTCGGATCTTTTCTTCCATCAGCTCTATCAGGCGACACTTCATGCAGACGAAACTCCTATCAGGTACCCCCTCCAGGATCATGTACATGCCGCAGCTTCCACATCCAGTCATCTTCATTGTGTCTTCCACTGCCTGGGTCACTACCACCGCTGCCTCTGTATCTGTCATAGGCTTCCCACCTAAATCCTGTAAATCTGGGAAACACAAACCAAACCACCCACAGCACAACAAACCCCCAACAAGCACCAAGACACTGCTAGAACACTGCACACTCCCTTCGCTAGCCTGTCTGATCCTCCGCCTGCCTCTCTTAGTCTTCCCCCAAACTCCCCTGTTAACAGCTCTGTTTGCTGGCTCCTATGCCGCTGCCTGACTGGCTGGCTACCTTTATAAGACCGCATCGTCCAAGCCTGTTCTGAGCAGGGCTCGCTGACCTGGAGGTCAGACCCCGGCTGCTCTCAGGCTGCCCTGTCCCTGGTGCTGGACCCAGCGTGGCAGGGCAGTTTCATGGGAAGCTTGGTGCGGACCCAGCCGCGGGGCCCTCTCTGGGCTCTGCGGGGGTGAAGCACTGAAAACAAGTGGATGCACAGGGCCCTCTGCAGTCCGGCTAGGGGGAGAGCTCCAGGTGCCCTGTGTGCTAACACAGCCACCCCAGGGCAGCACTGGGGCGTACTGCAAAGGGTCAGCTGTGGAAGTCCCTTCTGCTCATCCCCTGCCAGTGGTAGAGTCCAGGGCCAGCCTTGGCCCCAGCCTGATCCAGGGAGACGTGACACGGACAAGCACCAATCCCAGCCTGGCCTCTGGCGACCAGACTGTGGCAGTGCAGACAGGAGTGCTCTGCGGGCACGGCTGGCCTTGATCCCATGGCCATCGCCATAGCTGTGGGACCCCTGCCCTTTGCAGTGCTCTGCTCTTGCCGTGGGGCCTATGGGGCCTGCAGCCAGGCTGCTCCTGCCGTTCCTCCTCACTGGTGCTCCTCGTATCTCCTGCAGATTCTGGATAACCCGCCCGACTACCAGAAGTACTATCGCCAGATGAGCAAGGTACAGCTGGCCACGGGCCTGGATTTCCCTGGGTTGATTCTCCCCTGTTGTTCCATGTTTGTTCCTCACCTGTCCGGCTGCCCCTAGCTCTGGGCTGCTCGCGGGGCAGGGAACGAACCTTTTAGACTCAAAGTGGATCTATCCTGTGATAGCGTCAGAGGGAGGCTCTGGCCGCAGAGCGACTCTCTGGTGTCCGGAGGAGTCTGCGGCCGTGACTGAGATCCCAGGTGCCGAGGGGCTGGCAGTGAGACAGGCTCAGCTTGCTTGGAAGAAGGGCACGAGCTGGCGTTTACCTGGCAGTGCCCGGGGCGTGGGAAGCAGAACAGCAGGTGGCTTGGTGTCTGCATATGGGGGCGGGGCTTGGCCAATACACATCGCATCGGCGGAGGAGGGGCTGGATTTCACCCACCACTGGCACTTTGCTTGGGGCCCAGACTTGGGTTTGGTTCCAGCCTCCAGCGTGAAAGCTATTGCAGTAGCTCCTGGTGCCACCTCGCTGTTAAGGAGAGACTCCCCTGTCTCCCCAACGTCCTGCTGGACTCGAAGTGGGGGATGGTTGCCAGCGTTCTCTCCCCATTTCGTGTGCACAAGCGGAGCTGTAATTGGTTGGGTGAGGGGGCTCCACCTTCCCTTGGGCAGGGCAGAGCCTGGCGGGGGAGTTTCCCTCGCTCTCCGTGCTCCTGGGGCTGAGTGCTGGTGCCTGACTCCCCAGGGTGGATTCCCCTTCAGCACCCGTGACTGCGGCTGGATCGTGGCTGACTGCACTGCGGAGGGGCTGAAATCGGTGATGCTGCTGCAGGAGAAGTGTCCCTTCATAGCAGAGCACGTCCCCACGGGGCGCCTCTTTGACGCTGTGAATGTGGTAAGAGGCGGCGAAGGCCCAGTTGGGGGAGAACCCCGGAGTCAGCACCACGTATCTCGGAACAGCTTAAAACAAAACGGCTTCTGGGTGGGGGATGTTCTCCATCTGTGGGCCTTGGCCGTCCTGTGACTGGGCATACGGCCTGCAGGGCGTGAGCCTGGGATCACGTCTGGATGTGAGCTGGGCCCGGCTGGCATGAACCCCAGGAGGAGCCCAGGCAGGGCTGTTAGTGCAGCGCCTCTCGCTGCCAACGGGTGTCGCTCATGAGTCCTGAGTCGGGAGCAGCACGTACAGCCTGACAGGACGTGACCAGATTGGCCTGTGTGCGGGAGAGAGCTCAGAGCTGTTCTGTCCCTGTTCTGTCCCTGCGTGGAGGGACAGCGCAACGCCTTTCCCCGGCGGGCAGTCTGCTCACAGCACGGACACCCCGTGCAGGGAGCTCATTCGCCCAAGTCTTGGGGAGCAGAAGCGAATGTCCCGAGCTGGCTCCAGGGCCTTGGAGACCAGGCAGCTGTTCCGTGGGGAGGATAAAAGTGCCTCTGGCTCTGGCCAGCTCCTAGCGAAAGGGAAGGGGAAAAGGGGGAAGAAATGCTCAGTGGTTGGGAGGGATAGCTCAGTGGTTTGAGCATTGGCCTGCTAAACCCAGGGTTGTGAGTTTAATCCTTGAGGGGCCACTTAGGGATCGGGGCAAAATCAGTACTTGGTCTTGCTAGTGAAGGCAGGGGCTGGACTTGACCTTTCAGGGTCCCTTCCAGTTCTATGAGATAGGTCTATATCTCCATATATTAGACCTCGTCTTGACAGATAAGGAGGAACTGATCACATAATTAAAAATTAATGGACGCTTAGGTACAAGTAATCATAACTTGATCACAGGAGTAATGTGCAAACAGAATAAAGTCCAGGCCAGAGGCATATATACCAGGTACTTTAAAAGGACCAATCTCATAAAGCTAAACAACTATGACCCAAATCAGCTGGAAGGAAGAATTTAATCAGAGAAAATGTGGATGATAACTGGGAATTGTTTAAAAACAATTGGATGCCCCAAAAGCTACAATCCCACAATCAAGGAAGAAGGCGGTAGTGGATAACGAAAGACCTGGATTAGAGGAGAAGTGAGGGCACCTATAAAAATAAGAAAACAATATATAACAAATGGCAGAAAAGGGAAGTTGAAATCGGAAGCTAAGAACTGTAGATGATGGATGCGGGAAACAAAGGGGCACAAGAAGAAATCTATGGCCTGCAGAGTTAAGGACAATAAGGAGTTTTTTAAGATATTAAGAACAAAAGAATCCTGACAGTGGTATTGGTCCATTACTAGATGAAAATGATAGAATTATCAGTAATAATGCAAAACGAAGCAGAAGTGTTCAATACATATTTTTATCTGTATTTGGGGAAAAGCCAGATGGTGTAGTCATATCATATGATGCTGCTCTTTACATTCCACTAGTATCTCTGGAGGGTGTTAAACAGCAGCAACTAAAGTCAGACATTTTAAAATCAGCAGGTCCAGATAACTTGAATCCAAGAGTTTTAAAAGAGCTGGCTGAGAAGCTCACTGGACTGTAAACGTTGATTTTTTTCAATAAGCCTTGGAACATTGAGGACGTTCCAGAAGACTGAAAGAAAACTAATGTTGTGCCAGTATTTGAAAAGGGTAAATAAAATGTTCAAGGTAATTATAGGCCGGTCAGTCTGACATCAATCCCTGGCAAGATAATGCAGCGGCTAAGGAGCTCCATTAATACAAAATTAAAGGAGGGTAATATAATTCCAGTTGCCATTGAGAATAAAATTAGAATAATAAAAATTATTTATGGAAAATAGATCCTGTCCAGTTTGGTTGATAAAGGTAATAGTGTTGATGTAAGACTTACACTTTTGTAAGATGTTTAACGTGGTACTGCACAAAATTTGGTGAAAAAAACAGAGCGAAACAAAATTAACCGGCAAACATTAAATGGATTAAAATCTGGCTAACTGATGGGTTTCCAAATGTAATTGTAAACAGGGGATCTGCACCAAGCGGTGTGTTTCGTAGCAGGGGGTGAACGAGGCTGGTTTGGATTGTCAATCTCTTCCCTTCTGTGTCCGGGCAGTTGCTGAGCATGAGGAATCCTGACGGAGGCTTCGCGACGTATGAAACCAAGCGGGGGGGCCGGCTGCTGGAGCTCCTGAACCCCTCGGAGGTGTTCGGTAAGGGCAGGTGCGCTGGGCCTCTCCCCAGCTATTGTCACTCGCACCGTGAGGGGAGGCAGAGCCAGGTCCGCTGGGCGTGGTGCCCAAGGCAGGCTCGGGAGGTCTCAGCGCAATCACACGGCCAGTGCCCATCCCCAGAGACAGCACCTCTGCACAGCTCCTGGGATGGGAGTGCACCGGGGAGGCGGGGCCCCTGTCAGTGCCTGGCATTGTCCTCAAGCTGCCTGCTGGCCATGAGTCCCCGTTTGATGGGGATCCTCGTTGCTCTTTCTCCTCTCTGGCAGGTGACATCATGATAGACTACTGCTACGTGGAGTGCACGTCGGCCGTCGTGCAGGCGCTGAAGCACTTCCACGAGGCCTTCCCCGAGCACCGGGCCCAGGAAGTCAGGTAACGGAGGGGGAGCGCCGAACCGTCCGTTCAGAGCTTGCACCCTGGGGAGGTCAGTAAGTGGGGCCTGCTGGGATGAACCTGGCGCAGGCCCCATCTGTACGCTCTGACCCGCAGGGCAGATCCTGCCGCCCACACAGCTCTGTGAACGAACCCAGTAACCGAACACGGCAGCTGCTGTCCCAGTGCAGTGGGGGGCACCCTCCTTTCCTAGCTACCCTTTGAGAACAGCCCA